TTCTAACGCCCGCGATTGTTCAGGACTCCAGCTACGACAGCTCGTGACGTCGCATAATCGAGTCTCCTTAGGTTGCGACAGTTTCCGAGCCTTTCCTTGTTGTCGATGGCTGTGACCGTGTTGGGAATTACCGGTCAGGAGTCTCACCTCTCAGTGGGACTCGTCTGCTTCCCCCTGGTGATTGGACTGGGCTTGCAGGTGTCTCGGAGGAGGAGCACAGAGGCCACGCGTTCTTCCTCACAGGCAGTGTCGGAAGTCATGCTATCACCATGACCTCTGGCTGTCGATGCTTATCTTGAGCGCCTAGTGGAGGTCGTGTTTGCCCAGTGTCTCCACGTAAAGCTGCCCTTTCCGCCCTTTACTGTCCTCTGTAGAAGGGCGTGGCTCTAGGGCTGTGCAACCCGCAGCCCGCATGCGGCCCAACACAAAGTCACGAACTTACTTCAAACAGTACAAGAGTTTTTTTGTGATTACAAGTCACAGTGTATTTCACGGTGGCCCAAGACAACTCTTCTTCCAGTGTGACCAGAGGCGCCACGAGGTTGGACCCTGCTGGGCGGCTGCCCACCCTCAACACGTGGAGAACCTGTGGTCCATTTTGAGTTAGTTTTTGTGAAACGGGGAAGGGCTGTGTCTGACTTTATGAATTTATTTTTGCATCTGGATGTCCGGTTGCTGCAATTAAAGTTCCAATTAAAGACGACCCCTCCTCCACCGAGTGGCCTCCGTGCCTTTGTAGGAGTTGGCCGACCACTCGTGTGGGCAGCCCTTTTGGTGACATGGACTTGGGTCTGGAGGGAATTAGCTTTGATTTCACTTGCACTAGTTTGTGCCATTTAATCTCTGACTCTTCTCTGTTCACGTGTAGCTCTCAATCTCGGCTGTTGGCAGCGACACTTCAATGCAAGAAACAACAATCTTCCATTTCTTCTTCCAAGGGAAAGGTGAACAGACTCTGAGGGTGAAAAGGGGAACTGAGCAGCCCTCCCCTCTAACAAGAGTGTCCATCCTGTGTGATAAGGCAGGACTCCCAGGAAAAGCCTTGCTCAAGGTCATGCAGCTGATCAGAGATAGGACCACTAATCAGTCAGTGATCAGTGACTCACTGAGGACCCAGCCAGGCCTGTCACTCCACGAGGTGGCCTTGCTTAAACAGAGGCTTCTGCCTGTTCCATCTTTGTCCCCAGTCGCACTGGTCTGTAGCTTCTCTGGTGACTCAGTGTCCTGTCACCCCGTGGGCTGAATGGAAAGCCAGCCCCTGGGCAATCACAGGACCTCGGGCCGACCGCAGGGCCAGCTCCAGGGTCCAGCTCTGGGAGACAAAGGTGCAGTTTTGAACGGCAGCCTGACCACCCTCTAAAACCTTTTAACAGGCTTGGAAAGTTTCACTCCCGGTGGCAGGAGAAACTCAGGGAGCAAACGGCGATGTTATATGCGCAATCTCCGACTACTGTTGGAAAAGTCAGTCCCGGGGACCACCCTGTTCATAGTAGTCAGGAGGGTAGTTGGCCCCCCAAGGAAAACGTCACCCTGTGGGCTGAGCACCACGTCACGGGGCCGCTCTGCTCTCCGGTGAAGAGAGGAAGGGATCACAGATCACAATCAGCAAAGACTTCCTGATAAACCTGTGAAATCTGCTCTGCTAAGAGTGCTTTCATTCATGTTAAGGGTTCGAGCAAGAAACCCTAAAACTCTGTTCCTGACAGACTGACTCATAGTAAGCCCTCAGATTTCTTTGAAATGTTATCTACTGTTTGATCCTTGCTGCCCTGTATTCCTGTGTATTACAACCCAATAAAAGGCCCTGGAGGAGGGGGCTCAAAGCCTTTTTCCCCCCAGAGAAACTGGCCACTGCCCACAGCCCTTTCCCTCCGGGAAAATGGCCACTTCTCCTCCCCAAGCAGATCACATCATATCTCGGTCATATTTACTCTTCATCCGTGGCAACTGGGGGGACTTGCAAAGGAAGTTGCCCCCACACCTAACCATGTTAAATAGATTGGTAACTCTACGAGTACTTAGGCCTGTGTGCAAAACAGAGTACAAGATGCCCCCAAGTCTTCCATACATTATCCAAAGCAGCAAGATGACACTGGACAGTGGAATCCGGCTCTGTGAGTTGAGGGGTTAATTTTTTCTTTTATTAACTTTATTGGGTCTGCTACCATAACTGTCTTGCCAGTTCTTTTAAAATATATTTGATGCCTCTACATTTCTCCATTACTACCAACAACATTGCAACTAATTATAAAGCCATCAGTTATTAAGCACCTACTGTGTGCCTAATGTTACCCTAAGCATATTCGTGCTCCGATTCTACACCTTTCTCTGAAACCCTGTGCGGTAGATCAGAGTGCTGTCATCATGCTGTGCCGACCAAGGAAACATCAGTCCTGTAGTGTACGTTCAAAAGTCGTCAGCACTTGCGCTCATGGCATCTCGGTCAGCTCTTCCGCTCCCTAACGTCCCCACCCACAGGCCGCTGCCCGTGGGCGGGTTGTTTCATTAACTCCTTGGAAGGCAAAAATGATGGCAGGTGTTTCATTTCTCCACATAAAAGAGACTCAGAGAAGTCAAACCTCATAGTAGACTTTTCTGTAGAGACCACTGTCCTCTCAAATGTATTTCTTAGACACTCACCTGGTTAGAGGGCAAAGGAGGTGTGCGTCTGAGGGCGAGGACGGGGCCTATTCCGGGAGAGCTGAGGATGATGGTGGGGCTTTCTGTCCACGCGCCCTGCCCGCCGGCGGGTGAATGAGTGCACTGTAGTCGTGCAGCTGTGAACACACAGGTGGTAGTTAGTAACGAGAGAGTGCAGGCGGGGGTGTACCGGGCAACCGAGATGGGGGTCATAGTGATTTTACAATGCTTGCTTTTATTTCCTATTTTTAGTCTGCCTAAAATTAGATGCTTTTCTCAGTGTTTCGTGCCTTCAAGTGAACATTGGGCAGCGTGGACTCAGAATACACCTCTGCACTGTTCAGGCTGAATGGGGATCCTCACATTCTCGTGAGAAGGGGGAAAGCATTTTGGAAACCTAAGTGGTTTGACCAGGCAGGGTCCACCATCCTTAGATCTAAAACGTTGTGAGGCGACAGCTGTCACAGTCGACACACACGCACAGCGAGGCCTCGTTATCACAGCTCGGGCTCTGGGCCCCTCGGCCGTGGGCCCCTCACACACTGTCAGCACCCCCTGGCCCCCCTGCACAGACGTCCCCGAGTTTGGGAAGTGGGGGGAGCGCCGCAACATCCATTCCTTTCATCTGTTGTCCTGAGCATGTTAATCACACCCCAGTGTTTTTGGTGACCGAGTGTCTGGATCAGTGCATCCATTTATATATATTTTTTCTGGTTTTTATGGTCTTTCCTCCCAGTGAGTCTTTTGAGGTAGCAGAATCTCAGCTCTGCTCACCAGACTTTCTGCTTAGTGTCCTAATGTCCTGCTCCACGCAGTGTCAGGTCAAGGGTCAGACTTGGTTTCCAGCCACCCTTCTCACTGGCCTCCTGGTCTCACAGACTGCAACTTTTTCTCTCAGCTCCAAAACTGCCAAAAAGTCTGCTGCCTCGTCTGTCCCTTAGCGACCTCCTGCCCAAATTTGGCCTGGATTCTTGGCTCTTGCCCCATACTTGGAACTGGCAGGTGTCCCAAAGGAGGAACCAGCTGCCCACTGTCCTCTCCAAGAGCCTTCCTTCTCCAGATCCTGTTGCTCAAGCCCTTGCTTCCCCAGCAGCCCTCGGGCGCCTCCGGGCCGACGCCTGGCTGAGTGCGGCCCACAGCGTTGCTGCTCTTCGAGAGAGAGAGAGAGAGAGAGAGAGAGAGAGAGAGAGAGAGAGAGCGCCAGCCTCCCCCCGCCACACCTTCCTGGAAGGTGTTCCTGTGTGTCCTTCATTCCCTGAAGGTGAACAAACAGCAGGAATAGTTTCACCACACATCCCTCCCACGGCACGAGCTGCATGCTTGATTTCAGGAGTGATCTGTCACTCACAAGCACATGGTGCCAGGTTAGTGCATCTGATCATCTGTCATGTAAATACTTAGGAATCTTTGATAAATCTTAAAATGACTATCTGTTCATAATCCTATTGGTGCAGTTTATAGGAGTTTCAACTAGCCAGCAGAGATATTGGGGAAATGGGATTTTATTTTTTATAACTCAGTTTCAGTCTTAGGGTCCCATTTTACATAAGTGGCAGAGACTTACTCGCAGTCGGCTGGGGGGTGGCCTGTGCACCGTGTCTCAGTGACTGAGTCACTGAGACGGTGGGTCGGGGAGCTGTCTAGTGCTCAGCGTCCTCTGTCTGTGCAGCGCCCACCGGTGGGGGCTTCGTGCCGTCTCGCCTGCCTTCATTCTTGAGTGTGAAGAAGGCTTTCGGGTGCTTCTGTTACATTCCTGTGGGTTGAATTGGCCCCAAATGTCGGGACACGCTCTTTTCCCCATGAAACGGCCCTGCCCCAGCTCCCCAACTGAAGCTCAGCCCCTGCTCCACTCTGGCTCCGCCTTCCCAACGTGAGGGAGCGGTGCGCGCATGCGCGGCAGTGCTATCACGGAATTTCACCCCAATAGTTTACTTCTGCAAGTCCTTTCAGTTTTACTAAAGACCTAAGATTTATTTTTAAAGATTTTATATATTTATTTTTAGAGAGGGGGGAAGAGAGGGAGAGAAACATCCATCACTCGGTTGCCTCTCCGAGACTAGGGACAAACCCACAGCCCTGTCACGTGCCCTGACCTGGAATGGACCTGGTGACCTTGACCTTTTGCTTTTCAGGCAGAAGGACCTGAACCAACTGAGCCACAGCAATCAGGGCGAAAGGCCTAAGATTTTGAAACTAAACCCTGGAGCAGTTTGCTGTCGGTGGTCGCCCCGAGGCAACGAGAACAGATTAGCGGAGCTGAAGAGGGGCCGGTGAAATAGTGGAGAGTGAAACAAGGTGAAGCCTTGATTAATATTTCAAAAAAAGTAGTGTGCTACGTGTGTGCGTTCAACTCTTACGTGCTTGCTTACTGAGCCCCCCCGAGTGTGCGGGCACCGCACTCGACACTGGACACCAGAAGCCCGCACCTCGGCCGCCGCCTCCAGAGCAGACAGAGGGCACGCACAAAGGGGCAGCTGTGAACCTGGGGTCAACTACGGTGAGCAAACACTCACCCTCCCTCCCCAATTACAGAAAATCGGCAGTAAAGGGTTTCTCTGAAGGCAAACAATGACGCTCTTGTAAGTAGAGGCTGTGGCAGCCACGGAATGTTGGAAACTGGGAAGCAGGTGACAAGTGGCCCAACTGACGTCACAACAGAAACCAACCAACACGGGCAGGGGGGAAGGCTGAGCTGGACGCCGGGCCTCAGAGATGCTTAGAAGTACCCGAGCAGGGGCAGGCGGTGCCGACACCGGGAGGGTCGGGGGCAGGTCATAAAAGAAACAAGCCCCCAGCCAAGATGTGGTCAGCCGTCTTCTGCGGGGAGCCAGCTGGAAGCAGAAACATGGAGACAGACAAGAGCCAGGGGAACGACCCAGCCAGACCACCCTTCAGGGTCGTGTACCGACCTGTTCTAGTCACTGACGGGCAAGGGTCACTCAGCACCTAGGGACAGTCTGTGCCATGACAGATAGAACGAAGTCTAACAAACGGTTGGATAGAAACAACGTATGGGGCAGAAGGACACCACAAACATGCGAACAGCACAGCTGACACCCTGGCGTGGTAGGGAGGGGCAGACACACATCTGGGAAAGGATGAGAAGGCTATAGAATGGGGCTATTCAGAGACCAAAAACCTGCTCTTTGAAGTTAAATATAATAGAAAATTTCAGAAGCAAGTTTGGGAGAGGTTTGAGGAAATCTTCCAGAAAGTCAGTTGAAAAGAAAGAAATGGGAAATGGAAGAGACCAGGAAAATGTTAGTGTTTGGGGAGCCCAACGCCCTGAGAGTGGGGGTTCCAGCAGGAGAGGGTGGGGTGCGAGCAGACTGGGCCCTGGGCTCTGAAGTATCATCGTGAAGCGTCATCGCTATCTCCCTGAGCTCCGGCCCGGAGCTCAGACCCGAGCGAGCACTCGGCGCCCCGCACAGGGCCACGGGGACAGAACCTCCCCCCCCCTCCGCCCCCCGAAGGTGAGCCAGGCTGGAAGTGCAGGCTCTGGGAGGTAAGGGCAGGCCCTGCAAGGAGGCTGCACACAGGGACAGCCCCCGGCCACAGGGCCCAGGCCCCCTCCTCTGGTTGTGACTGGCACAGCCCTGTAGAAGTTCAGATGGAAAGTGATGTCAGATCCTGGTTTCTGTTCCCTGTCAAATTTGCTAGTAAGTATGAAGGCACATTAAAGACAGTTCAGACCTGCAAGTCCAAAAAAATTTTACCTCCTTTTCAGAAAACTACTGGAGAATGGCTTTCATAGCAGAAGGAAATAAACCCGGAAGAAAGAGGATCCAGGAAATGGGACCTACGAACAGGAATGAGCCAAAGGGATGGATGCCCAGGTGGGTTGTCCCAGTTCACCTGGGCCTGCAGGGGCCAGGTGGGGGACTCACAGCTGCGAACCTGGGCCCCGCGTATCCTGGAACCTGTTAACCTGTGTATCCTGGAAGCTGGTCTCCAGGATACCAGGGAGGGGACCCCCATGTGGAGGGCTGGCTGCAACTTGAAACAACCGGGCCAGGCAGGGAGGAGAAGAGGACTCTAGAGCGGGGGGGAGGGTCTGGAACTACGCCCGGGGGAAAACACGCACACGTATGTACACACATGTCTGTCTGTGCGCCTATTTCCTGGGGACTTTGAGTGCTTTAACTAAATCCCTCTGGGGGGAAGAGTTTCAGGATAAGCTGTGGATGTGTTACAGGACGGGGGCCTGGCCCTGAGCAGCTCCGCCTCTGGCCAGCGGCAGTGTGCGGGTTCCTGACTCCACGTGGGGAAGGTTTCACAACAGGCGTTCAGGTGACTAAGGGTACGTTTGTCAAAGCCAGGAACAGCAAGACGGGGGGGGGGGGTGCTCGGCACACAGGAAGCAGCAGGAGAGCCAGACCCAGCTGCCCCAGCTCACGAGGACGTCAGAGAGAAGGGGGCTCTGGGGACAGGCACGTGGGGTTGTCCTGAACTGAACTGCTGCTGCCCACTGCTCCCCTGGCTGCAAGCCTTGGGGTCCCTGAGAACGTAGGAGAGGTGTGACCGTGGGGGGAGAAGAGAGGGCAGAACTCGGAGAAGGGGATGGCTGGCCTGCTCTTTGAAGGGAGGGTGTCCCCTGGGTCCTTTGTCCTTAGGCTCTCTCTCCTCTCTGCCGCAGGCAGAGGTCTTGGGGGAGGTGACGGCGGAATGTGCACCGGGGCTCCAGGTGTGCCCTTTCCAGGTTGTGGTCTCCGCTGATTGGCCAGCCCTGGGTCCATAGTCATCGTGCAGCTGGTCCTGACGTCACCACCTGGTTTCACTGCTCTTCTGGGCCCGGGGCTGACACATCATCAAGGCCTGGATGTTCGCTCCGGGCAGGTGACCTTCTGCATCCAGCTGTACTTCTGGGGCCAGTGGGCTCAGCTGTCCGTCTCGGCGTCCCTCCTTGTCCTGGCTCGCTGGCCGTCTCAGGCACACGGTCTGTGAGAGCAGTGCGGTAGCGGGGACAACCGGGGAGGCCAAGTCCTAGAGGAAAGTGAGGTCAGAGGGCATTAAATTAGCACGGCCCCTCCATGCGTGGTTACGTACACAGTCACGATACCGTCCATGCCGAGCACCGCCCAGGGAGGGATCAGAACTGCCGATCCAACGGAGAAGAGGAGCGAGGGGGCTGTAGAGAGAGAGGGCTCCCGAGCTGCTGCCGTGATTGGTGGCTGTCTCCCGGGCATGGTGGCAATAGACGCTGTCCTTAGGGAAAAGAATGTCACTTAAACACCTGGGGCCCAATCCCAGGGAAAAAAGTTAAAAAGTTGAGAATATCCACTCTGGAAAATGGAAGTTAGGAGTGGGACTACGTAAGACAGGAGACTTCTTCAATTGCAAATGTGTTAGAAAAGCTTGTCTTTTAAGATTATGAGTGTGAATATCTTTGAAAGAATTAACATGAAATTACAGTCAACTGCTTGTATTTTAACTTCATTTGTATAACATTTTATCATTCCCAGTTGTTATTTTAATGGAGTCAAATGGGTTAGTTTTTCTTATGATTTGTTCTTTGTGGTCTTAATTTCTTCGTTAATGCAATATCAAAACACGACATAGGGTGAAAGAATTGCTAAAGTACATATACGTGTGTATGTATGTATGTGTAGTATATTACTAATTATATGACATTTGAAACATACCAAGCAATGCTTCATATGTGTTTATTAGACACACAAATAACTAAGATCCATAAGACATAATAATGGCAATACTATTCTGTCTGCAACATTTTATTTCTTTATTTTACAATCTGTTTCCTTAATGAGGGATTCATTGTGAGAAGACTTAATTGGTAACAAGATATTTTTTTCACTTTTCTATAGTTTAAGATATTTCATATTAAAAAGAGAATCTACTGGCAGTCACAAGACAGCCAGGCGAGGCTCATGGAGAGGAAGGTGCTTGGTTCTGGGGACCCGAAGAGGGCCCCTCACCCAGCCTGGGGCTGGGGGTCAGCTCGGAAGGACTTGGGGAGGTGACGACATTCTAGTGACAGCCTGGAGGTGGGGGCCTGCGGGTGGGCCGGGCGGCGGGGCAGTGCTTCCCTAAGAAAGTGCCGTGTGTGTGTGTGTGTGTGTGTGTGTGTGTGTGTAGGACATAGTAAAGGCCCTGCACGCCTCTCAGGCAGGTCTGGGCCTCACCCCCGGGAAAGGGCAGCAGCAGGGCCTGGAGCCTCGGCCAGGAGTTCAGTGTCTGTACGTGACTGGTAGCAGCTGGAGTTCTTTACGTGTTTGTTTTCTCCCGCATGACGATGCCTTCGGGCCCGTGTGCCTGTCTGCCTTCCTCAGCCGCCTTCCCCGCCTCAGTCCCGCCGGGACTGCCTGCATCAGTGCCCAATCCCTGTCCCCTTGGTCCAGGGGACCCAGCCCTCCCTGACCCTGCGTGTGCCAGTGCCCTGCCTGCCTGTCCCAGTGTGGCCCCAGCTCACAAGTGTGAGGACCTGACAAGGTTTTCCCCCTTTCCTCAGCCTTCTGTGCCCAGCCCCTCCTCCTCTGTCTCCTGGGATTCCCGGGCCCTGTGTCACTGAGCCCCAGGCCACCTGGCCGCACTGCGTGTGGAGCGAGGACAATCGAATGTGTCATTTCCCGACCTCGTGCAGCTGGAGAGAGGGCCCTGCTTGTGCTATGAACCAGTGGGTTCACTGTGGCGCGGGGGGCGAGACGCACTTTCTCAAAGGCGGTTTTGGGGAAACACGGAGACACTTTGCCTCACTCGTGGGGTGTGAAGGCCCCTTCTGGTTGGTGCTCTGGGTCCCCCGCTTGCCCTTGGGAGAGGGGCAGCCGTCCTTCCAGCCAGGAAACATCACTTGATTTTGGTGTTACGTGCTACTTTTAAGTGTCATTTTCTGACCGAGATGACCATAAACCTCTACTGATTGTAAGCACAAGGGGCCACAGTCAGACTGTGAGGACACATTCTGGGGAGGAGAGGAAGTGGCCAGCGGGAGGCCATTGTGATGGCCAGTGGGCAGAGGGAGCCGGTGCAGGCCTGGGCGGGTTCTCCGAGCCCACCACCTTCTGTGCGGTGTGGGGGGGAGGGGTTGAAGGCGCAGACGCACTGCCAGGGCTCTGCAGGAGCCCCTCTTTGCCTGTGATGATTTCAGGGGGACGGGGACGGGGAAGAAAAGGTCGCTGTGTGCTGCCACACTGAGGAATAGGATTCTGCTCCACCGCCAGTGACCTGATCTGAGTTAATTTCTGTGAAATGCATGAGGTCTGCGTCTATGCATTTATTTTTTGCACTCAGACGTGCAGGTGTTGCAGCAGGCCTCGGGGACAAATGACGGGTGAGGTTTGGGCAGGCTGGTTCCTTGTCCTCGGCAGGGGGTCCTGGCTGAGACGTGAGCCGAGGGCGGGGAGCTGGAGGGGCTCAGAGCTCAGGAGGCAGGTCTCAGCTGGAGAGGGGCATGAGGGCGTGTCATGTGGGGTGGCTGGGCTGGGTGACGCTGTGGCAGATGGAACACGGCGCGGGCTCCGCGAGGAACCCCTTACATAAAGGTGGCAGAACCCTGCCGTCACCCCACTGAGCCTGCAGATGGGCAGGCTGACTGAGCAGGTCCTGCGGCTGGTTTTGTTTCGTCTTCTGTGTCCCCTGTGTCAGTCCCCAGGACACAGAGTAGAGTTGTTGAAGGGCTCTCCGGGTGGAGAGGGCTCAGAGGACCCCAGGGGTGGGGGAGGGCCCTGAGAACGGCTGTGAAGCCTGGGGGGGGGCACAGGGGCGTGTCTGCTTTCTGAGTGGGGTGGGAGGGGGCTGACTCAGCTGCATGGAGGGTGAGGGATGAGAAATTGAAACCAGTCTTCCTGTTATTTCCAGGCGTCAAACAGGGAGCTTCTCTCCTCCTCCTCACCAGCACCCCAAAGCGGGAAAAAACCAGGCCACGGCCCAAGGCTGCACTGGTAAGACCATAAGGCAACACTGGACACACCCGAGAGACAAGGGCCCTGCAGAACCCAGAGCCCCCGCCTGAGCGCCCACCCACCCCCAGCCCAACGCTCTGCCAAGTCTTTCTGGAGTCCGGTTTCACGTTGTTCCCTTCTGAAGATCAGCAGTCATTCAGTTAATAGCAACCAATAACCGCTGTTAAAAATACCCATCCACACACCACAGTGGGGACAGTCATCCATCTGTGCTCCCACTCAAAACACTCAGGGAGGGCCACTTGAGCTGGGCAGAGCGCTAGGTTCCGGGGGCTGTGGTGGTCCGCCCGAGGCCTGGTTCCAGTCCTCCTACCGGCAGGCCGAGGACTGCTGCGGCTTCCTTTAACTCCCAGCTCCGAGGAGCTTCACCAGTTTAACACTCTCTGCCGGCAGGATTCCTAGGAGGATCTTCTACCTCATTACGAACCCAAGACCCACAGTCCAGGCTCCTGCTGGGACGTGTTTCTGGTTTACTGGATGCACACACTGTTTTGGATGAAAACAGTGAGATATCTCCAGCTAAATACCAGAGCGGTCTCTGCTTTTAGTTGCTGGTGAGCGCACGGGTCCCAGGGAGGGGAGAGCCAGCTGCCCCCTTGTAGGCCAGCACTGCTGCCACAGGACGAGGTTCTGAGACGGGTGGGGACCCACTGCCCCTACGGGCACTATGACCACTGAAATCTAAAGGGCCAGGCCTGGAAGGGGAGCTCATAGAAGGCCCGTGGCCTCCCAGGGTCGCCGCTGGGACTTCCCCACACGGAACAGAGAGGCAGGGGCTGGGCTGGGTGGGAAGGGCCCAGAGGAAGCGGAGGGAGCGGAAAGGCAGCCTGGACTGGACCCAGAGGGTGCACGCACACGGCAGGCCCCCACGCTGGTCGGTTTTGCTCCCGGCCTGCTGGGCCTTGGCCAGGGCCTGGTCCAGCTTATGCTCACATGTCTAGAAGTTCTAGACAACCACACCAGCGCTCCGTTTTTGACAAAACCTCCTGTGTGTTCCCCGCAGTGGACTGGTTTCTTTTGTCTTGTCCCGAACCTCCGCAGGAGTTGCCGAGCCCAGCCCACCTCCCTGCAGCATCTAGAGCAGCCGACTTCTGTCCAGCGGCCTGGGGGCCGCCCTGCTGTCTCCCGCCTCCCCATCACCCCAAATCTGCGAAGGGCCCTTCCTTCTAGCTTTGCCTTTTTGCCCTGGCCCAGCACAATATCTCGCAGTCCTTCCCTCTCTCCTATGTTCGCATTTTAAGTTGAATTCATGCAGGGCATCAATCAAACTTGAGTCCTATTACAGTTGTAGGGTGATTTTGAAGACAGAAACTAACACCAGGCAGAGGTTTGGGAGTTTCCCACCTAAGCCATCCAGCGCCAAGGGCCACCTGGGACATCCCAGCTGTTGACACTTTCAGAAACAAAAACAACGACCCAAAACTTAAAAACGAATTGGAAAATACCCTCCAATCCTCACGCCTTCTCTATCCCTAGGTCGAAGATGGCCTTGGCATAGTGACTGCCTGTTCCTGGAAAAAGACACCCACAGGCCGCTGCGTACTAGCGGGCAGACGGTCCAGGGCAGCGCCCCACGCCCGTCCCGCCGCCCTTCAGGAGAGGCGCCCTCTCGGGTCCCACCGCAGCCACAGCCCCGCCCCACCCGCCTGCCCGGCCTGGACGGGCGGTGCCCCACGCAGGCGCACTGGAGCCGGCGGGGGTGGGGGGGGTACGGGGCGGGGCAGGCAGCCGGGGGTGTTTCCGTTGCCCGGAGTAGCCGTCGGAGCCCTCCCGCTGCATCCCTGCGTCGTCCGCGCGCAGTGCTCCACGCTGCACTCCGCTCCGCTCCCGCAGGCTCTCAGTCCCTGTCTCTCTGTCTGGTGAGTGCGCCCTGGCCTGGAAAAGCGCCCTGCCGGCGGCTCGGGCCAAGCGGTCTCGGTCCCTTCGGTCCCCAGCCTCGGGGAGGGCGGGTCCCAGTGGCTCCGGGAGGTCGTCTGGTCTGTCCCGTTTCCAGCGCTGTCCCTTGTCTTGCAGGCCGCCTCCCTCTCCCGGACCTGAGCAGTCGCCATGGCACAGGTAAGGCCGCGCGCCCGTTTGCCAACTTTGTCACCGCGTCAGGGGACTTCTAGAATCGGCCCCGAAAGTTGAGGAGTAAAGAGAATCCGCCCCCGGGAGTGTGCGCCCGGCTCGCAGCGCCTCTCCCAGCCCCGACCCCCTCCTGCAGCGCGCCCCCGACCTGCTCTGGCGGCTCCTCGCCTGCCAGTGACGTGGCGGGGCTTTCGCGCTCTGCCTCCAGGTCCTGGAGAAGGGGCCCTCCCCAAAATCCGAAGACTCGCTAAAATTAGAACCGGAGCAGGAACGGCTCGGTCATGTGACGCGAGTGCATTTTTCCCCCTGGATTCCTTGGTTTCCGCCAAGTTCCCGGTGTTTGAGGCTGCGGGTGGGCGTTGGCTTTCTCCATGCTGGGCTTCCAGCGCCGCTTCTCCGGGTTGCTCAACCTAGTTTTACTAAAAGGAACTGTTCCTTAGGTTGGCTCTGAGGGTTTTTTTTTTCTTCTTCTTTCATGCAAAATATTAAACAGAAGATCTGCTTTTCTTAAGTAATGGACTGGGGGGTCGGGGTCCGAACTGAATTTGCCTCGGTTCTGTGTTGGGACTGGAGGGCCTCATCCTGGCTTTCCTCCCGGTTCTGCACATTTATCAAATATGTAGGAAAATATCGTTTGACGTATTTGAGAGCCTTTAAACATTGACCATGTTGTACAGTCTTTGTGAATAAAAAATACTACTGCTCAACAGTCCCTCCCCCCAAAAAAACCCCACCAAAACACCAACTTACTTTATGGGTCTTATCGATCTAAATGGCTTGTCAGAGTTCGGGTCATTTTTTTAAACAAGTGTTTTATGCGCACACAATGCCCTTCCTCAGAGTTCTTCTCTTCTCTCTAAAGCAGATCGGCTTACCTGAATCAAATGCGGTTCCGTGGTCTTTTCCAAGAGAAAACGGGAGGATTAAGATGGGCTGGCAGCTGTACTGAATTTGTACAGGACTCCTTTCTTAATCCCTCTGGTGCACTTAAGAAATATGACAATAAACCGGTCTCATGTTACTTTCAGTGGAAACTTGGGTTTAAGTTCTTCCCCGTGTAAAGGATACGTTCAGGTGGAATTGACTTTCCTCAGAATTATTTTTCCCATCTTGATACACGGTTGTGGTGATGTAAATGGTGATTTAGCAAGCTTCAGAGAATAATTCTCTTTGTCCTTGCTCATTTGGCCATTTCTTGAATCTCTCTTGTACGTTTACCCAGTGATGCCTGACAGTTTTCAATCAGTTCCTTTTAATTATGTGGACACTTGGCCCCAGGAAGCATCAGTGGGCACAGTTTTCTAGTTGTGGCCAGGAATGACTTTGAAGAGTGAAAATAGGGGGAAGGCCCTGAGATACACACAATGGGAGAGAACAGGGCCTTGTGTTACACAGTTACGTGTGTGATTTCTATCACAGTAGCACGCCAGGACTGTTTTCCTTCTTTTTTTTAAAGACTTTATTTATTTACTCTTAGAGATAGGGGAAGGGAGGAGAAAAGAGAGGAGCATCAATGTGTGGTTGCCTCTTGAGCGCCCCCTACTGGGAACCTGGGCCACAGTTCAGGCTTGTGCCCTGACTGGGGATGGAACCTGTGACCCTTTGTTTCGCAGGTCGCCACTCAGTCCACTGAGCCACACCAGCTAGGGTGCACACCAGGACTGTTTTTAATAAAAACCACGGTTTTTAGTTACCATGAGAGTTACAAGTACTGTTAAAGATGCAGCGTTGAATTTGCACTGACTTTGTTATGAGTCATCCTTGGAAGCTATTCAAGTACAACATACTGTTAAAATGTTTAATATTAAGACGGGTTATATTGTCTGTACGCACACAGCATGCAGAAAGCCCACATTTTGGAATTGCACTTTTCCTGTCTGCAGTTCCCTCCAGACCCCTGTGTACTTGGAGGGAAGCTTCGGTGTCAGGTTTCAACCGCCTTAGGTTCTACAGCGTCACCTCTGGTTGACCTACAGGTGTGGGGACTGGGGACCCCTGCTCTGGCCATCTGCAGACTCATGGCATCAGGTGCCTGAGTCTTAGAGGTGCACGTTTTGGCAGACTCAATCGTGTTATTAAAAATTAATGTCTCTTGTTTATGGAGCAGCTAAAATGCGGCCTTCCGCAGCAGTCGCTCTCGATGCTCATGAGCATCTTCCTTGCCCGTGTTTCTCTCTGTACGAGACTCGGGGCCCCTGGCTCGCTCGTGCGGGTTTCCCGTCTCAGGTTAGCGGGAGCCGTTTGTTTTCGCAGATCGTCTCACGTGTCGTGTTTAAGTGCTAACGGGGCATTCCGCATTCCTGGTTTGGGAAAATGGAGATTTGGCCGTATTTCGTAGGTGAACGATCCATTTAACACATTTTCCTTCAGTTTAAGGCTTTTGTGACTTTATTTCTCCTTAACATAATGAAATTCTAAAATATTGAGACTGTCCGAACTTAGTTTCATGTATAAGACTATTTATAAAGAGTTAATGTATTCAGGACAGCAGGAATGTCATAAAGGCAAAACCAGGCTACATAAGTTTTCACTAGAAACTTCATGAATATCAGAGTCACCTCCCCGGGGTGTAGTTAAACCGTACAAGGTTGGGTTAGGAATATTTTGGTTGGTTTGAAACCCCGGGCTGTGGGAATTTACACGGCCCAGGGTAAGTAGACAAGCAGGGTGGATGTGAGGGCTGTGAGTGAGTTCGAGGCGAGGGTCACCCCACAGAGGGGAGTGAGCGTGGGTTGCATCTCCTCACGCCGCTCACCCTGAGTCCAGTCTCCATGCAGTGACCAGGCCCCCCACTCCCCCGGGGTCTTAGGTGGCATTATCGGTCACCCATGGCCTCAGGTCCCGATTCCTGTCCTCGATTTGGAAGCTCAGGAAGCACTGGACCCAGCGAGGCGAGGCTGCCCCGAGGGCTCACTGGCTTCCGGAGCCTCCCCTCCCTTCCCTCCAGCGAAGCCCTGGGGGTCAGTGGTGGGCGTGGGCGCCCATCTTCTGGGTGTGCTTTGGGAGTGTGCACCGTGGGAGCGTAACAGTGCTCTTGCTTCGCAGATCCATTTCTGAGTAAATTTTGTTCACATAACCTGTGCACTATTCCAAAGCTTCACAAACACATCAGCTGGCTTTTTTTTTTTAATGTGTGCTCCTAAGACCTGTCTTGAAGTGTTTTTTGGATCCAGCCTTTCTGTGTGTAAAAAAAGCAACCCTTCCCTTGCCTTCTGGTTTATGTTTATCCATTTTGTTTTGGCATACCTGGTCTTTGAAGGTAGAGGACTTTTTCATTTAGAGCAAGAGAAGCACAGAGTGGGGAGTGTGGATAATTTTGAAGGTGGGTGTCAGAGGGGACTTGCATGTTTGGCCGGGCACCGTCTGAGCCTGCACGTGAGGTCTCTGGAGGGCTTCAGGGGCAGAGGAGGGTCAGCCCCTGCAGCAGCCGGAGGTCCCCGGGGGATGGGGGACTGAGCGACGGCAGCCAGGGAACCACAGGAAGGAGGGGAAGCCCTCTGTCTGAGTCAGGGCGAGTCACGCTGGCACAGCGCAGACCGTTTCGCGGGGGCGGGACGGGGTTTGGACAGGACATCCACCCCAGGGCTCTGCCCTCTGACTCATGCCTGTGCGTCACGTCTGTCCCCAAAACCACTGTGGGCCTTCGCCAGCTTGGGCGGTGACTCCGATCCTGTGGAATGTAGCAAATGTGGCCCGGTTGCTGGAAAGCCTCGGAAATGCAGCTGGCAGCCCGTCTCCTTCAGAGTTAGCGGCTGCGGTTCCGGGGGCACTGCCCTTCCGTCCACCGGTTCCTTCACCTCAGGGGTCACCTGTCTTCTCGTTCAGGGGAAATAAATCTGTTGTCTGCTCTGTCGCCCACCTTGCCCCTGCGCGTAACTTCTCCCTTTGTGACTTCTCCACAGCCCACAAACTGGATCGAGTGTTTTTCAAGTGTGTTTCTAAAAACGTTTCCATTAAGCCATGCTTTGTAACACGGGGGCCCCCAGAGCTGCTCTGCCTCAGGTCGCTGCTCAGTGTCCCTGAGTCTGGCCGTCACCGCCCCCTGCCCCCCGACACAGGTGCCCTCCCCTGACCCCCTGTGCGTTTGGACAGGCTTCCTCCCCTTCCGGAACTGCTCTCTCCTCTGCTTCCATCCTTCAGCTGCTTGGGTTTTCTTTTTGTTTCTGGGAAGCCGGGTGGCATCCAGGTCAGGACCCCTGTCCCAGCTCAGCTCCTCACTTGTCTGGTCACTTGGTGGTCTGCCAGACCGTCCTGGCCAGGGAGTGTCCCCCTGTGCCAAGGGGCTTCACTGGGACGGCCTGAGGGAGAGTGCTTCTCATTGCCCCACTTGGCAGGTGTTCACCGCCACTCCGACTGCAGGTGCCCTTCTCCTCTGGCTCTGGTTCCTGGCCCACCTTCTCCTGTTTCTGCCTGGTGACAGGCTCCGCTCCCAGCTCCAGTGCCCGCCCACACAGGACCTCATAAGGCTGTTGGGAATCACCCAGGGTCCGAGCTGCCTCCCGGCCAGGACCAGGCCTGGGCCGTTCCTTTCCACTGCAGCTGCTCCCGACCACAGGGGCTCCTTCCGCCTCCTCCTGTGGGCAGTTCCCACACGGCCTTCCTGTCCCTGGCATGGCCCATTTTCCTGTCCCCACTGCCGCCCAGGGGACACACCCTCGGAACTCCCCAGTCGCATGTCCTGAAGAGGGCGGCCCTTGAGGACAGATGGCTGGCACCTCCCAGCCTGGCTTTGCAGCCCCCACCCAGCCCTCCCTGGTTGGTGGAATATTTGCCCGTCACCGGGCCATCTCATTCTCCCGTGATTTTATGCCTGGAGCTGCCTCCCCGCACCTCTCCTCTCCCCACCCCGCCTGCCGACGGCACAGGCAACTCCCCAGACACCGTGGGGAAGTTCGTCCGATTTCTCCACACTCTTCCCACTTCGGCCCTTCCCCTCGTGCTCACGCCCCCTTCCCCTCTGGAGAGTGTAGGGCCGTTCTGCACTCGCTCCCTTTGCTCACACACTGTGTTCTCTTGGCTTTACCGACCCGGCCTTCCCCTCATGGTTGGTCCAGTGCTTGGCACGTGGGAGGCACTGAAAAACGGTGGTCGAGTGAACGAAGGAGCAGAGCCATGAACTAAATCATCCTCCAGTCCCGAGTCCTCGCCCCCTAAGAGGACTTGTGCTGACGGCTCCTTATGGTGACACCGGCGGTGCCTTCACAGAGGTGTGACGTGGTCCCACTGAACAGAGGCAGAGCCTTCCCAGCCCCCGCCCGCTCTGACGGGCCACCTTCTCAAACCCCAGCGGTTCACCTCCCACGGCTCTGCTCCCCTCGACTGTGCGGGCCCGTCTGCAGCCGCCAGTCTGCAGCCGCCCAGTTTCTCCAGCTGTAGAGCCTGCGGGTGGGACCCCGTTGCTCTGCGTGCGTTTGTAGACTTTGTAGACGGCGTGGCCGTGGTGTGGGCCTGGTGGTGGGCGCGTTTCCCAGCCGGTAGGATGGCAGGACGAAGCCCTTTGACTCACAGCCTCCCTAATGAGAGAAGGGGCAGAAGCCCGCCCCCCCCCCCCCCCCCCCGGTCCTGCCCCCAGGGGGCCGCAGTCCCCTGCAGCTCAGGGACAGAGCCCACGGGAGCCCCTCCCACTGTGTGCCCCCTGGGGCGGGCGGTCACCGGGAAACAGCCCTTGTGTCCTGGGCTGGGCTCTTGGCCTCAGGAGGACAAAATGGAGGCTTTCCTCTGGGCAACTGGTTGTCAGAGGGAGGAGGAGGGATCTTCCGTCCTGGAACAGGAGGAGAGAGACTACTGCTAGGAAAACCTGAGTCCGGCATCTGTGCAGGTGGCGGGAGAGACTTGACTCAAGACCATGGCAACACGGGAGAGAGATCGGGTTCCAGCCCCGATGCAGTGAAGAGGCAGTGGGCGGGGGGCAGCCGGGGCGCAGGGCACAGGGCGGGGGGACATCGAGGGTTGGGGAGGCTCCTGCCGAATGGGCCGAAGAGGGTCCCAGCAGACGGCGGCCTGCAGACAGGCTCCGCCACACGGTGGGGGGCGGGGGCAGGGCTCCTGCTGCCGCTGGGCGGGACCGGACCTCGTCCTAGGGGCCCTCAGAAGGGCCGCCTCAAGTTCGGTCAAGGACAGAGTCTGTCTGCCGTGTCCGTGTGCCCGTGTGCGGTGCAGGCGGCCACTCCGCGGGAGGGAGAGGCCGCCCGCGGGGCTGGGCTGCGGCGCTGGGTCCCTGCAGTCCTTCCCCGAGGCTCGCTCTCCGTCTCTCTTCTCACTTGGGTGGTGGTGGGGTGTCGTGGCAGGTGCTGGGGTGGAGGCTGAGGTCGAAGGGAACTTTCCCCTGGTAGTGGCGGTGCCTCCGGTCGCAACAACACACGTGTGACCGCGCACCTGGCAGGTAGTCTGGGCCCTCCCCTCGGAGGGAAGCGGGACGGCAGTGTGGAGGGACTTTGAGAGCGTTTGATGGTAAATACAAACACTGGGAGTCTTTACCGGAAGGTGAATGTGCGACTCGGTGTCAGGAAAGCGTCCTTCTGCTGACCGTCCAGTGACATGACAGGCACGCAGACGTGGTGGTGATCCGTTGTGAGTGCGGTAAAAAACGTGTCACGTCGGGGGGCAGCAGGGCGCCTTCGAAGGACCTCCTGGCAGGACCGCAGCAGGGCTCTGAGCCCAGAGACTGTGCTGTGCTGCCGTGTGCGTTTGCACGCGCCTCCCGGCTTCGTTGGGTCGTCTTAAAGTCCCTGCGACGTGAGCAGAAACAGGGCTGGAGGCTGTTGTGTGACATGAGTGTGCTGGGCGTGTGGCGCCTGGGCCAGGTCACGGCCGCCTGCTCCTGGACCAGAGGGGTGGGGGGCCTCCTGGGAGGGTGTCAGGAGGTGCTGGGGGCTTTGCCCCAGGGCGAGGACGGCGGGAAGAGGCCCTGGGAGCCGCTGCCACCGAGGCCCAGTGGGTCCTGCAGGGTCCTGCAGGGTCCCTGGGTTGGTGCTGCTGATACGCACGGTCGGCCGCCCACTTCAGATACGGCTGCACAGAGCAGACGGGCTGGTCAGTGGAGCCGAGGCTGGACAAGAGGGGGGCGGTGGCCCGCTGTCTCCGGTACGAGCTTTGCCGTGTCAGCCTTGCTGTGATTGACACCGCTGTCTCCTGCCGCAGGTTCTCAAAGGCACCGTGACTGACTTCCCTGGATTCGATGAGCGGGCCGACGCCGAGGCTCTCCGGAAGGCCATGAAGGGCCTGGGTAAAGTCCGCCTCCTCGGGGTTCTAGAAAAATGGGGCGTTGGTTTTCCCAAACGCAACGTCGTTGATTTGCAGGAGGACTCATTGGAGAATGTTTGGGGCTGTGCAGAAAGAGGGAAGGTTCACCGAGATGACAGAGTGACAGGACTGGCCGTCGGTGGCAGTCAGTGTCAGGGCTGGCAGCTGTCCGCTCTCCCCGGGCGGCACGTGGCGGAGGCCACGAGTGGACACTCCTGGGGGCCGGCGCTCTGCAGCCCTTCCCCGTCTGCACCCACGCCCGCCCCATTGCTCTGGTCCCGCACGTCCGGAGCCATCTGCTCTGCCCCCACCACCCTTTCCAGACCCTTAGGAACCTGTCTGCACACAGGTCCCGTTCCCAGGCCCCTGCACCAGGGCCCATGGGTGGGACCCCCTTCCCCAGACGGTCCACCCCACTGGTGAGCAGGACTCCCCGTTGCGGAGCAGGCCGGCGGGGTCGAGGCACCCCAGCCCGCCACTGTGCCCCCACACTGTGGTCTCTGAGCCACTGCCCTTCGCGGGGTCCCTGTTCTCCTTCCTGCTAATAAAAGCCTGCCCTTCTTCCTCTCGTCACTGTCTGTGACGACCGTCCGTCCTTCAAGTCGGGTGCCACCTTCTCCATGAAGCTTTCCCCAGACCCTTCCACCTCCTGTGGCTCAGGGGAGCCCCTTTGACCCCCACTGAACCCCAGACTGCCCCAGGCCCTGGCACGTCCTGCCTTCGCTCCCGGTTGGCCGTGTGCTTCCGTATTTGTTTCCCTAAACTGTAACTTGAAAGCAGGGTCGGCATCGCCATTGTCTCTCAGTCCCCAACACCTCGGGGCCGTGGAGAGCTGTGGTCTGAGCAGCTCTTTGTTGCGCTCCAAGGAGAAGTTGGTGCACTCGGTTTTTAAAAGTCGGGTGTGCCTTCCCCCTGTGTCACTGTGCGGCAGGGACAGGGGTGGGGCGTATGGGCAGATGCCACTGGATGTAAACGGTGCTGTGAGTTTTCTAGTTTAATCAGCTACGCAGCACAGCCTGCTTTCTGGGGTGAGGAACGGACGGGGCGGGCTGCAGAGACTGTGGAGAGAGGGGCGGGTGGGTGCCCAGCGGTGATGGGGGACCCTCCCTCGCAGGCACCGACGAGGAGACCATCCTGACCCTGCTGACCTCCCGCAGCAACGCGCAGCGCCAGGAAATCACGGCCGCCTTCAAGACGCTGTTTGGCAGGGTGAGGCTGGCCGCCCCTGGGGTACAGCGGTGGGTTTCTGCAAGAGCCTGAGACGTGTTGTGGCAAACATCACGTGTGGAACGATCCGGCCGTCCTGCTCCTTCTTTTGTTTTTCCAGTTGCTCAACTGCCCACTGTGGGCACACAGCTGCTTTTCCCTGGGTGATGGTCGGAGGGACAGCGCCTCCTCTGTGCCTCCCTCCGGGGCTGTTCCGGTGTGTGTTCCGGGCTGCCGGCCTCGGTCACACTGTGTTTTGTTGTGTGGAGACACAGCCTTGGTGGCTTTTGGGAGTGAAACTTGAATTAATGAGTTTTTAATTCATGCATTTAAATGCTCTTACCTGGTTTAGAATTCGAAGTAAACATTACATTTGTTACTCAATGAATGAGGGCCTGCATGAAAAACTTAGATGTCCTTTCAGTATTCAGAAAATTTTCATTTCTTGTTTCATGGAGAAACAAAGGCAAAGCAAAAAAAAAAGTCCATGTGGCGGGGGTGGGAAACACTCCTGTTTGATGACCGGAGGCCAGCTCCCCCGGCCCTTGGCCTCCGGCCAGCACTGTTGGGGCAGGAGAGGCCAGACTCTGCCCTGTGTGGAAATGCATGTGTGATTTTGGGGGGGATTCTCATGCTTCTCAGGACAGTATTTTTTAAAAAATAGATACTTTTGAGCACACTTTTAAAGTATTCATCCATTTTTTTAACTCTTGAAGTAAGAAAAACATCCCTTGGTAATCGTGACCTTCAATATGCACGTGACTTTGCTTTGTCTTGCGGGGTCGGTGGGTGTGGGGCCGGGTCTGGAGCTGCGGGGCCTCCCCGTCCTCGGCGGGGGCCTGGTGCAGAATTAATTCCTCAGAGTGGCGGCTCCCGTTCCCGCGTGGGGAGAACCTCTGGAAGGTTCTGCCTGGCTGACTCCTGGGTGTTTCCTGTGAGTTAGGACCTTCTGGACGACCTGAAGTCGGAGCTGACCGGGAAGTTCGAGAAGCTGATCGTGGCGCTGATGAAGCCCTCCTGGCTGTACGACGCCTACGAGCTGAAGCACGCGCTTAAGGTACTGGGGTCGCGGCTCCCGAGCAATGTGGTTCCGTTCTGGGTCGGTGATCACGTGACCCGCTTTTCATGTCAGAAGTATTGGAGTTATTCCTGCCAGGGTTTCTTGGAGAACAGAACTGAGGAGTCAGTGAGAAGAAAAAAGAGAGGAAAGCACAAGTGTGTCATTTACCCCTGACTGTGTAGTTAACTCAATAATTGGGGCTCTTTACATTTTTAATAACTTTTGTAGCCTTTTGTATTTTATTTTCATGCCTGTCTTTAAAATGTTATGGATTAGGTATTTTATCTTCTAAAATAGAAACTCGGCTGATTGGGTAACAATCACATCATTAATCATCTTAGTTAAAAAATAAAGCTGCAGAGAACTGTCGGGTAGGGAAGGGGGGAAGGCTTTCCTAGAAGTAGCAGGTGAAGTTGTTACGAGTTCACTGTAGCAGGTAAACCCTGTGTTTCCCTTGACGGGTGGGAGGAACACTGTAGCAACACTGTAGCAACACCTGCGCCCTGCGACATTTCTTTGGATTTAGGGAACAGGAACCCGCTCACTCATTCAAGGTTTTGAGTTTGAAGGAGGAAGGAAACAGATTGAGCAGCAAAGACAGCTGGCGGCTCAGGGAGCCTTCTCCGGAGGGAGGAAGGAGGGTCGCTGAGTTCAGAGCCGCTCTGTGCTCACGGTCCTCCCTTCCTGTGGTGGCGATGTTGGGACAAACCCAGTCCGAGGTCATCGGGAAAGGGCATCTTTGTGGAGGGCTTCTGAAATGTCAGCAGCGGCGGGGCTTCTGCCAGAGCAGACATCTCGGTCTTTCCAGTGCTTGATTTTGGCTCGAGAAATAGACAGATGAAGGGAATAATGCTTAAGCATCCTGTCTTTTAAAACTGAGTCTGGCTGTACCGTTGGTTGTGTCTCCTGATGTATCAGTGTTGGCATGACTTTCGCAGTCAGGAAAAGGGAAAGTTAGTTTTCAGAAACCCGGAAAGCAAGTCCCAGTTCAGTCTGCAATCACGACCGCTGCCGCAGGGCCTCTCTCTCTCCCCCGAGGACCTAGTGCAGGGCGGGGCTCCGGTTCTGAGACCCGAGTTGTTTATGGGTTGGGGCCCCTCTGTGTGAATCCATGCAAAGGTTACATTTTTACTAGTTCAGCGTCTTTATTATGTCTGCTTCATCGAAATGTTTTACTTTTATTTAGAATTAAACGGATAAAACCACAATTTGTATAAGCCGTATGTCTGTACGTGCACACTTATAGAAACGTTGTTTCTCATTAGACAGAAAGGGATGAAGAGGATTAATTGGCTGTTTCTTATTTCTGTCCCCGGTGGAACTCACTGTGCGTGGAAGTGGATGTCACGTTGGGCCGTCTTTATGTAACTCTGCACTTGGCCGACGTGTGTTCTAGGAAAACCACTTTCTTTGTAACCTCACTGACACGTTTTTCCCTGTGAAAACTGCGTCTCCCCACAGGGCGCTGGGACGAACGAGAAAGTGCTGACGGAGATCATCGCCTCCAGGACCCCTGAGGAGCTGACGGCCATAAAGAAGGCTTATGAAGAAGGTACCGGTTCCAGCTGTTTCCCTCGCGGCCACCGGAGCGAGGGCAGGCCCGAGGTTCCTAGGCCGGCAGGCGTGGGCGCGGGGGCCGGGGGAGGGGTGCAGGACGGGAGGAGCGGGCCGGTGCCCCGCTCTCTCCTCCAGCCTGGTCTCTCTTTGAGACTGGACCGGGCCCCGCCTGGGAGCTGTGTTTGGTGTCATGGTCGGACACCCTTTCTGAGGCTGAGGACTGAGCCTCTGTGCCACCAGTGATGGGCGGGTGTCCTGAGGGCACAGTGCCTGCTGGGGTACCCCCCGCCCCCGCTCCGTCGCGTGGCTGTCACGAACCACAGGGAGGACTCACACCACGCAGTTCCTGTCCTCGGGCGTTTGCGGGTCTGTTCAGGGCTGGCACGGCCTGGCAAATGGCACCAGGGTAGTGACACTCATACCAGAGTCAGACACCAAAAACACTTAGTGCAAGAACCCGCCCAGTCCCGGGTGCCCAGAGGGGCTGCAGGGCGCGGCAGCGGCTGAGCAGGGCTTCCACATGGGGCAGGTTTGGTAGGTGAGGAAGCAGGGCGTTTTCCGCCCCCCACCGTCTGCAGTGTCGTGGAGACTGGCCTGCAGAAAGCTTATCCAGGGACCAGAACCTGGCCGTTCTGTCCCTGGGGGAGGGGGTAAACTGAGGCAGCCCAGCCAGGCCACCTGCAGCAGGAGGTTGCAGGTGGCTGGGGAGCAGTCGGACTTGACTGGAAGGCGTGGTGGGTTCCGAGGCAGCGGGGGCCCTGCACTGGCAGCTGACTGACTGAATCGCGTTGCTCTCTGGGGCCTTTTCCAATAGAAGTTTCTGGCTTTTAAACTCTGAGTGCTGTGCAGCGCGACAAGGCGTGTCAGCGCCTTGGTGTGGGGAGGGCCCTCTTCAGTGGTGGCCGTCCAGGAGCCGGCGGGAAGGGCTGGCCGCTCCCACGGCCTCTTATTCTGTAGCTGGAAATCTCGGTGGGAAGGGGCACACTTCAAAGTGGCACTGCGCTCTCGGAGTTAACTGTGTTTGCTGCAGAGGAAAGGTGCCTTCTTATAAAAGTGGAAGGGAAGGCCGTGCCCACAGAAAGAAAACTCAGACTGTTAGAGGGCAGCTTTCAACCAGCAAGAATGTTTAAAACACGCTGCAGCCGATGAGCCACTCAGGGGCATGACCTCTTCCCTTAGCCGTCCAGTAAAAAAATGACAACAGCCAACACAACAATGGCCGTCTGGCGTGAATGAATCAGAACTGCACGTATGTTTTTTGTCATGCTGGCAAAATACGTATTTTTCGGTGTGCTGCAGAATTTTAGTAATTTCCATTACTAACAGAAGTAGCTGGAAGCGGTGGAGAATCGCGGTATCAGAGGACGTAAGACCGCTAAGACTAATGTAAGCCATTGAAAGAAAGCAGGGCCAAGTTCAGCGTCGGGATCGATGGGACCGCGGAGGCTTTCTAGGCCTCCTGTGTCTTCAGCTTCGTAAGCACGGCGGCCGAGAACGTTTCTAAGAGGCTGAGTCATGGTTTAGGCTTGAACTGAGTGCTTCGGGGAAACTGGACCTTGTTTTCGTCCAGCCCACCCACTTAGGCATTTGCTTTCCCAGTCGGTAGAGCACAGCGCGGAGAGCAGGCGTTGCCCACCCGAGACTCCCCCTCCGTCTCTGCCCTTTGACTGATGGGCCTGGGGGGGGGCTTTCGTGGGGGGAAGGGAGCTGTGAGCAAACACGCTGTCACTCTGTTGCAGAGTACGGCTCCAACCTGGAGGACGACGTGGTGGGGGACACCTCGGGGTACTACCAGAGGATGCTGGTGGTGCTGCTTCAGGTACGGGGGCGCTGTTAGCGTTTTGATTAAAAATGTAACAGTCTGAAGCTGGAGTGGCCTCAGTGCGCTCACCGAAAATTACTTTAATCACTTCTGGCACTTAATTGTTCTGACTGTTTGGTGTCTGTGTTGGCTTGTGTTTCAGAAGATCTGGCCGGAACTCTTAATAGCTGGCTCATAGTGTTTTGGGATATCACTGCCCTCTTTATGTGCAGACTTTAAGTTGCAGCGGGGCGGGTTGGCTTTGGACGGTGCTGTGTGAAAATGTGCAATATTGTAAGGACTGATCCTAATTGAAGCACATTTTTCCTAAGGAAAAAAGCTCTATGCAGTGGTCGGGTGGCAGTCTTGTCGCGTTTGCATGGTGATGCTCCTGTAGTTTAGTGACAGGACGATTCTGTCTTCCAGGCTAACAGAGACCCCGACACTGTCATTGATGAGGCGCAGGTGGAGCAAGATGCTCAGGTGAGTGAGACCGGACGGCTGGTGGCCGCGCTGTGGCCGACAAATGAGGAGCAAATCCGTGCTCACGAAGCACCTTCCGGCCGTGTTGTGACGGCATCTCAGACCGCCTGCCGGGCAGAGGGCCCCCGGGGGAGCACCGTGTTTTGCTGTGAATAATGTGCACCCGTGTTTTTGTGCGCATCACACATAGGATTGTTATGTCCATTTTTACAGCCATGGCATGCGATCATTATGCCCAAGTATAATGCACGTCCTTATTTTTCCCTCAGAACTTTGGGTGAAAAAGTGTGCATTACACACAACAAAATACGGTACATTTCTCTCATTTTGATGTGGCCAACAAAATGCTTTATCCCAAAGCCGAAATGAGTTAAAATGAATCACATATAAATAGCGAGTTCCGCCTCGGTCTGCCGCTTTTCCGGGCTAATGAGCACTCGCCAAACAACCACCAACCAACAGCCCACAGGTGTGGCTGATCCCGAGGAGCAGGCAGCAGGTCTGGGAGCGGCAGAGGGTAGAGGCGAAAGTATTTTAGGGGTGGGTGGTGCTTTATTCTACAGCAGACAGCAGATAGCTGTAGGATCCAGAAGCACCTCCGCCTCCTTAGATGGCGCTCTAACTGGGCTTGTTGTTCGGTCGGCTGATCTCTGGTGACTCCCTGGTGAAACTGCGCTGCAGTGTGCCCGGTCCCCACTGTCACCGTGGTCTCACCAATGGGGGTGTGAGACTTCTGAATGGAGAGCAGTGCGGACAGCAAAAGGCTCTCTTAAAAGCTCTCGACGAGTTTCCCTGCCGAAACCCAGCCAGGAGCCCCTGGGGGTCACCCCCTGGGGGTTGAACGGGCAGTAGACGACCTGCTGTGCTTTGTAACGTCCGTGCGTGCTGCACGGACCTGCCCCCCTCCCCGCGGCGTCCCGTGGGGGCTGTCTAGGATACAACCCTGTCTGGGTTTTAACAAGTTACCCACATCTCAGGACATGGACTGTGACTTAATGACGATGTTTGTGTGTAACTCTGCGTTTTCAGTAATTATGTGGATACTGGGAAGCACACGTTTTTCTGACGTAAAAAAGAAAACTCGGAACGCAAACTGTTCAACAAGTGCGTGTGAAGTGCCTGCTAGGTGCCGGGCGTGGTCCTCCACCCACAGCCTTTGCACACGGACCGCGATCCTTCAGGAACGTGGGGCCGGTCTGTGCTCCGGTTACCTTCCAGGTGCAGGGAGGGAACAGGAAGTCCCTTTCCGTCAGGCGGGTCAGGTGGCAGGAACAGCTGCGGCGCAGGCCCAGCCAACAGGGCCCACAGCTTGGCTCCTGGTCAGTCCCTTCCCTGTCCCTGGTGGGCGCCTACCGCTTCCTGCAGCCCTGCCCTCGCTCCCGAGAGACCAGAAGCCACGGCAGATGCTCTGGGGACCCTTGCCTTCTCCGTGTTAAGCCTTGACCCGCCGGCCTCCTGTGCGGGCTCCAAAGGAGCCCCAGACACAGCTCCCGGGTCTCTGAGTAGGAGTTGGTAGAGCCAGAAGGTGTCAGGTGGTGGGCAGGCGGATTAACAGGTAGAAGCCACGTGAGATGCAGAGCCTGGGGACCAGGGCAGGGAGCGGGGTGCTAGCCGAGGTCGGAATCTCCCCAGGCACTGTTCCAGGCTGGAGAGCTTAAGTGGGGGACGGACGAGGAGAAGTTCATCACCATCTTCGGAACGCGGAGCGTGTCTCATCTGCGGAGGGGTGAGTGCGGAGCAGGTACTGACGGTGGGCTGGGCTCGGTGTCTCTCCTTTTCGGTGGCCTTGAGAAACCTCACCGTTCCCCTCGCCGCTGCTGCAGCTTTTTCAGAACTGGAGATCCTTGTCTACCCAGTGCTGTCCGGGGGAGGGAGAGGCCCTAGACTGTCACTCCCAGTAAAAAGCCACGGGGCTGGGTTCCCTAGAAGCGTTTCTGTCTAGGTGGTGCTAACCAAAACCTCGTCTTTGGATAGTCATCTGTGTGTGTCATATCAGGCAGGAATTAACACAGTGTGGCAAGTGACAGGAAACCCTAGGTTTTAAAGCCCCTTGTTGCAAACGTGACAAGACTGCCACCTGACCGGTGCACGCATAGAGCTTTTTTCCTTAGGAAAAATGTGCTTTAATTAAGATCAGTCCTTACAGTATTGCACATTATCACACAGCACCATCCAAAACGGTGGCTTTAAAACCTGGGCTTTCTGCCTGGCTGGCGTAGCCCAGTGGATTGAGTACTGACCTGTGAACTGGAAGTTTGCTGGTTTGATCCCGTCAGGGCACATGCGTGGGTTGTGGGCCAGGTCCCCCGTTGGGGACATGCAAGGGGCAACTGATACACATCGATGTTTCTCTCCCTCCCTCCCCCTTTCCCTGAAAATACGTAAATACAATCTTAAAAAAACAACAACTGGGCCACCTGTAGTAGATTCCTTGTAGTGTTTCGGTGCCTCATTTTCACAAGGTGGCTGCCGTAGCTCCAAGCATAGCAACCATTTTCTCAGCAAGAAGAAAGAAGTGAATGAGTCATATCTATGACTTCTAGTAAAGAGAGAAAGATTTCTCAGAATCCTTTCCAGGAGAGTTATCCCTAGGTCTCATTGGTTATAACTAGTAAGGTGAGGCTGAGAAATCAGTGAATAAAATATCTGTAATCAGTTGTTTAGGGCCTGGCGCAGCGAGGCTCTGGACAGAATCAGAGATTTGCGTTTGGTGGGACCACACCCGGTTGGAGTCAGTGTGTCCTCTGGGATCGGTGACCCTTCCGTGATGAAACCGCCATTCTGTTCTGCAGTGTTTGACAAGTACATGACCATATCAGGGTTCCAGATCGAGGAGACCATCGACCGGGAGACCTCTGGTCACTTGGAGCAGCTGCTCCTTGCTGTCGGTAGGTACCTGTGCCGTGGATATGGTGTTTATGGTGTTAAGAGCTACACAAAGTATTTTACTCAATTTACGCTGTGTCGGAGACAGCCAGCTGTTTCTTCATGAACAGAATGGTGAGCAGACTCCTCCGTTTCCAGTGCGGTGTCTGTCCCGACGTGGGGAACGCGTGGTTACCTGGTCAGCTCATCCAGTCCTGTGGGCGTGCGGGGAGGGCTGTTTCCGAACGGTTCTGAAGCTGCACTGAGAGGGCTCTGCTCCGCCGTGAGCGGGGCCGGGGGGCTTTCTCCCAGAAGCCTGTCGCTGTTGCTCTGAGTCCCGTGAGGGTCGGGTCCCTCTCGGTACCGTCCTGGCTGCTTTGCGGCAGCTGGAGAAACCTGTGTCCCCTTGGGTGTGTTGAGAGAGGTGATGCTGGGCGTTTCAGATTGAATACTTTGGGAGTTCACTTTAGCTGAGTGTTCTGAACAATCTGGAAAACTTGGAGGCCCGAGGGTGAGCAGCGATTGTAGAGTCACGTAGTCTCCCAGTCCAGGGGCAGTCTTGCCGGCGAGTGCCCTACGGTGCTGGTTCCCCTGAGGTTGGAGTGAAGGCTCCGCTGCTTGCTCTGAGCTCATGGTTTCGAGTGCCCTCTGTGCCCTGGGCGTGGGGGGCACGGGCCGCCGGCGCCGGGAGCAGCACCGACGGCGGCCTCTCTCTGAGTCTGTAGCTCGCGGACGTAGCTCAGTGATCAGAACACGCTGGTGGTCGCTGGTGGCTGTTTCTCTAAGCGTCGGAAAGGGGATTTACCCCCATCCCCCTTGGAGGACTGTTACTTTTGCACGGTGAGGAATTTCCACGTGAGAGTTTCTGGAGCTCGGCAGATGGAGGACTGAGCAGCCCGCACAGCAGACGGGTGCAGGCTCGGGGGACTTCGTGCCTGTCACCAGCTTCCCACTGCCGGGCGCACTGCGTGCTGCTCTGCCCGCATCTCGGCTGTCACAGGACACGGACAGGACACTAGGTCTCAGTCACAGGCGGACATCCAGGGTCTGGGAAGGCTCGGCAGAGCAGGAGACTGGTGGCACTTGTGGGCTGGATTGGGATGAGACTTGTAACTTTCTCGGGGATGCAGGAGGTAGTGACAGAGCACCCGGAGCTGCCACAGCCGCTAGAGCCGGCAGGTGCTGGAGGACCCAGTGGCTCCGCCGGTGCCCCCACACCCTACGGCCCGCTGCTGTGCCTGAGGATGCGGAGGGCGGCCCAGCCCGGCCAGGGGGGGCGGGGGGGCCGCCGTTCCCTCCCGCGCCGGTCCTGCACACTCGCAGGTGGGGGCACCGCGGCGGAGCACCTTGGGTCTTCAGTGGCCTGAGCCGTTCCGTGGCCTTGGCCCTGACGCGCTGTCCCCTCTCCCCACAGTGAAGTGCATCCGCAGCGTGCCGGCCTACCTCGCGGAGACCCTCTACTACGCCATGAAGGCAAGTGTGCGCTACCGGGCCCCTCTCTCTGGTTGTCGTCCCCCTGCCCCGGGATTGGGTGTTAGGTGATGGCCTTGGGGACTGTGTTTCCCCCTTGAAACAGGAAGCTCCCTCCGACTGAGCGGTTTTACTTTCTTCACTGGTTCACCCCAATCGGGCCCGTGGTGCCCCGTGGCCTTTAAGCGACGTGCCGTCTCTGGTCCTTTTCCAAGGGCGCAGGGACGGACGACCACACCCTCATCCGCGTGATCGTGTCCAGGAGCGAGACCGACCTGTTCAACATCAGGAAGGAGTTCCGGAGGAACTTCGCCACCTCCCTGTACTCCATGATTAAGGTGAGGAGGCCTTTCCCCACCTTCTGTCTGGACGGGGCGGCAGGCAGGTCTGAGGCTCCCTTTGAAGCTGCAGGGGGCGGGGCTGCAGCCCGATGCGCCATGGTGACAGCAGCCGCAGCAGCGCACCCACCCCTTCCCGCGAGGACGGCCTTTCCCTGCCTGTCCCGTAGGCCTTCCTTCCCCTTCTGGTCCGTTACCGTCTCTGGCGCACAGTTCGGGGAAGAGCCAACCAGGTTGGCGCAGAGCAAGTGAAGGGCTGCGGGGTCACCGCAGCTCTGCCCTCCTGACAGCAGGGGCCGTGGTCGACAGTTACTTGTGCTTACGGCCTTCAGACTTTCTCCTCTCTCCCTTCTGCCTTCCCTCACCCGCGCTCCCGGCCCCCGCTCCTTCCTGATGAAGAGGAACGTGGGCTCCGTGGCACCGCAGCTGGGCCAGCTTTTGACTTCCTGCCTGTGGTGTGGTGGGGCCCAAGGGCCCTCGAGCCCACCTGCACACACCAGTGTGAGCCTCAGTCTGGCACTCTCACCTGTGTGCAGCCCCCCCAGGTCTTGGTGGCAAAGCCCTGTAGGCAGGTGGTGCCCCCACCGCCCCCCTTGGCCAGACACGTGCTGGGTGACACGCTGGCCCTCATCCAGAAAGCTGGGTGTGAGCGCAGCTGTGGAAGCTTCCCTGTTCCCTGTGATGGGGGGGGGGGTGCATTTCTCAGTCTTGGGCGGAGCTGGGCCCCCGAAGGGCAGACCCGGGCAGTTAGGTCGGCAGGAAACTGCCGCCTGATGTCTCTGGAGTGGCAGTGGCAGAGAGGTTGCCCGCTTGGGAGAGAAGCCGCGTGGGCAGGCCTTCTTGCCAGCCGGTCCCAGTTCTCACTCCCCGAGGTGTCTGGGAGCCGCGGAGGTGACAGAGCTTCTGGGTTTCAGGGGGACACATCCGGCGACTATAAGAAGGCCCTGCTGCTGCTCTGTGGGGGAGAAGACGACTGAGGGGCCCGCACCCCCGCTGCTGCGCCGCCTGCCGCCCTCCCACCCGCCACGGCCTGGCTGTGCACCCCTTGGGCGCAGGATTCCCCAGGCGGGCTGCTCCCCACCCTCCGCCCTGCATCCCCCTGCTGACCCTGGCAGTCCCCTGCACACCTAGGTCACTGAGGCTGCAGTCTGTGACACTTACGTTGCCTTTAAGAGGTCAGGCTGCTTTTAGGCTCTTCAGCAACTTCATGGATACTACTCGATAACCGTATCACCTTAACTGGAAGCTTAGCCTTGACCTTGTGAACCCCAGGATGGGTCAGCATCGAGGTCGCCACTGAATTAACCTGGAGAATCATGGTAGCTGTATTTGAAGATTAGCCATAAATAAACGTGGCCTCCCCTGCATTCCGTGTGGGCGTGTGTTTAGAAGGTTTAATTTATCTCCTGCACGGCGGCATCTGTCTTCAGGCTACTCAGCGGGCCGTGCTGTCTTCGGAGAGCACTGAGGACAGGGAACGCCCCCTGCGGTGTGGGGTGCAGGGCAGGTCGGGGGTCTGTGTTAGCTGTGGCCTGTTCATGTGGGGCTCCATTTTAGCCATTTTTTCCGTGGTGTTCACGATGCTTAGGAGAAAAGCTAATTTAATTGTATTTATTTTAAAAAATTATTTATTCTTAGAGACATTGGAAGGGAGGAGAAAAGAGGGAGAGGAACATCAATGTGTGGTTGCCTTTTGTGCGCCCCCTACTGGGGACCCGGCCCACAACCCAGGCATGTGCCCTGACTGGGAATCGAACTTGCGACCCTTTGGTTCGCAGGCTGGCACTCAATCCACTGAGCTACACCAGCCAGAGGGAGAAAAGGTAATTTTAAAACTTCACCTAAAACTTGAGAGTGCTGTTCTCCTGTCTCCTGTGTTAACTTTTGTTTCCTGTGTGTTTTTTTAGCTTGTTTATTTACTTAAAGGTTTTCAGTTACCGTTGACGTCCAGCGTTACCTCAGTTTCAGGTGTACAGCGTCGTGGTGAGACCTTTCTATAACGTAGGAGGTTAGCCCTGCGAAGGCCCGGTGCCTGCTGGTACCGCGTGTGCTTATCACGATGCTGCTGAGCGTGTCCCCTGTGCGGCACGCCCGTCCCTGGGACTGTTCACACGCCCAGCACCCTCCCCTCCCACTCAGCCCCTCCCGGCTCTCATCCGCAGCCCTCAGTTTACCCTGTGTCTGCGAGTCTGCGTTCCCCTCGTTTGTTCCTCCACCCGTGAGTGGAGTGGAGCGGTAGTTGTCTGAGTGACGCGTCTCACTGAGCACTGTAGGCCCCCATGCTGTCGAGGGGGTGGGGTGAGATTCATTCTTCTTGTGTCGCTGAGTAAGAGCGCACTGTGCGTGTGCGCCGCGCCTTCCTTGTCCAGCTCGCTGTCGTGGACGCTGCGGCTCCCTCCGCACCTCGGCTGCGGCAGACACAAGGGTGCCTGCATCTTTTCGAATCGGTGTCCTGGATCTGGTCAGGTAAATACCCAGACACAGGATAGCTGGGTTTTGCCAACCTGCTGCCTAAATTTACTGTGTGTTTACCTTTCTGGTGAGATTTTCACTTTTTTAGGTTTTCTTGCTACTAATCAGTGCCCTTTCTTTTCAGCTTAATAGGCCCCCTGCGACATTCCTTATAAGCCCGGCTTAGTGGTGATGAACTCCTTAGGTTTTGCTTGTCTGGAAAACTCTCCCTCTCTCCTTCAATTCCGAAGGACAGTGTGCTGGGTAGAGTGTTATTGGGTGGGTGGCAGGTGGTCCCCGCGACCCAGAGCTTTGAGTATAGCATGCGCTTCCTTCTGGCTGTGAACTTGGTGCTGACAAGTCTGCTGGCAGTCATGTGGGTTTCCCTTGTTCATAACAAGTCGGTTCTCTCTTGCTACTTTTGAAGTTCTCTTTGTGTCTTTCACTTTGACCCTTTAATTACAATGTGTCCAGTTGTCCGTCTCTCTGGGCTCATCTTACCTGGAACTCTGCAGGCTTCTGGGCCCGTCGTGTGTTTCTTCTCCCAGGTCAGGGGAGTTTTTAGCCATTTTTTCTTTAAATAAATTGTCTGGGACCCCACCCCTGTCACGTGGGTGTTGGCTGGCTTGACGGTGCCCCCTCGGTCCCTTCAGCCGCTCTTTTTTCACTCTTCAGTTTTGCTGCTCCGAGTCCCTCTGTCCTTTTCCTTCTCGTCCAGTCTGCTGGCGAGCCCTCTGCCGGATTTTAAAATTTCGGTTGCCGTGTTCTTCAGCCCTGTGCTTTCTGTTCGGTGCCTTCTTATATTCTCTCTCTCTCTGAAATTCTTTATTTATTTATTGTTCTCTGAATCTGGTGGGCATCTTCATGACTCTGTTTTGGGGACATTTTATGAGGTAAGTCACTGATCTCCATCTCATCAAGGTTGATTTCCGAGGTTTTATCTTCTTCATTTCCTGGACTCTGTTGGTTTCTGTGATTGGATGAAACTGCCCCCCTTCGTGCCCCGGGGACTCTGCCCCGGCCCTCGGTGGTGTCTCGGTCCTCTGTGCCTGTCCCCACTGCCCACCCTACTCGCGGTGGCTGAGGGCGGCCCTGCCCGGGAGGTGCCCCTGCTCAGGCACACGTACCTCTCCCAGGGCGAGGCTGGGAGACGGGCTGCTGCGTGCGCCCTCTGCGCCGCGTCTGGGGTGGTGGCCAGGCAAGAGCTGCTCCTCGGTTTGCCTCTTGTCGGACCGGTGAGACTGTCCCCCACTGGCCAGCCGAGTCCAGTGATGGGGGGTGGCCCCTGGCAGCAGGCACAGAAGCTGTTGTGTGGTCCAGGGTCCCAGGTTCCCAGGAGACACAGCAATGGCAGCTCGCACTGACACCAGGTGTGAAGATGGCCCCTGCCACCTGTGTCCCCAGCAGCCTGTGTCCCCAGCAGCCTGTGTCCCCAGTAGCACCCCAGTGGCTGGTGTAAGCATGTGTGCCTGGGAGCCTGGCCCTAGACAGACAAATAGGCCACTTTCACAGAAGGGCTGGTTGTGTTCCCCTTCACTGTGCCATGTCCTGGGGGTGGCCCTTGCTAAGAACTGTCATTTGTTTGGTCCGGTTTGATTTTGTATTACTTGAACGTGATTTTAATGACTCTGGACCCCCAGCCCTGTCTGTGGCAGTCCCTCCTGTGCCCAGCAGGTGGTGCTGTTGGCATAAACTTCCTTTCCTGTCATTCAAACGGCACTTTTACAATGAAACTTGAAAAAATTTCAGCCCCACAGCATATTCTTCCACAGTCTTCCTCACGCCAGCCCTCAGTAGGAAGCGAATCGAAATTTTAACCTCTTGCTTGGTTACTCGTCTGTGACCCTGGTTTAGGATGTTCAAGTGTTGTTTTTGTTTTTTTTTTCAAAAGCACTGGGATTTCTTTTTTTTCTCCTCATGATGTTTTATAGTCTGATTAGTGCCCGCCTTCTCTCCTGCTCCCGACCTCGTGGTGGAGCGCAGAGCACGTCCCTTCCCTGGTGAAGTCTCTGGGTGTTTCTGCAGACGAGGTACGTCGCTGTCCTGCTTGAAACCTGGTAGCAGGTAAATTCACCGACAGCGGTGCCTGGGGAGGAACCCTTTTCTGCACAGTGAGTCTGCCTTCCCGGTTTTGATATCTGAAATGAAAGAAGGTCCTAAACGTTTGAATTTACTTTTTCCCTCCTATTTTATTCTCATACACAGATGTCTGAAACTACAGTCCTGTCTCCTGCGGACACGTTTGTTTTCCCAAATTCTTTATTTCTGGTAGTGGCTCTAAAATCCTCCTGCGTATGGGTCTCAGAGCCCGGGGGAGAGTTGCGTACCTTCCCTCCCCATGGCCTTCGGGTTAAATTAGTGAGCAGGTGCAGACCATCTCCCCTCCCTCTGCCTCTCACCCGCCCCCTTCTTCCCCTCCCCTGCCGCCCCCCTCCTGCTGGAAACCTGGGTTTGGAATCCCGTGTATTTGGACGACCTCAGTGACTTCTTTGTGTTCAAGAAAAAAAGTCTTTATTTTCATCAAAGCAATGAAAGACAGCAGTGTAAAAAGTCAAACAGCATGAGGTTGAAGGAAAAGAAGCCCTTCTCCCCTCACTTCCCGGCCCCGTCCCGCCCCCGTTGGGGAGGCGGTCTCGAGCGTCAGCCATTTGTGCCCCCTTCCCTGTGAGTGCTGCTCCGTGGTGTTTCTGAGCCCGTGCCCTCACTCGTTCAGCTCCCATCTCCCTGTGGGTCCCCTGCTGTCCTCGAGGGGGACCCAGCTCTGCACAGCGTGACTCTTCAAAGCCCCTCCCTCTCTGTGACACATTCGTTCCTTGTTCCAGCAGCGACAGGGGCAGCCTGGAGACTCCTGCTGGAAGGGGGGACACAGGGACACTGCCACCCTTTCTGGCCCCTTTTCACCTGCTGACTCCTGTCAGCTGTGGCTTTGCCTTTTCAGTGGTCAGGGCTGAACCTGTTCACACCCTGTCTGCCGACCCCTGGACGTCCCTGTAGTCTGTGATTCCGTTGCCCTCCCTGGGCCTCGGGTCCCCTGCCCTGCGGCACCTGCCCCTGTTGTTTGGTGTCTGCAGGCGTTGAGGCTTGTGTGACGTCTGCGGCGCCTTCTCCACGTTGTCCCCTGGAATTTCTCTCCCGGAGCCCCTGTCCTTTGGTTGGATCAACTCCCCCCAGGCCGCACTGGGGACCTCCAGTGCCAGCGCGTGGCGGCTGACTCGCACACCGACAGCTCTCTTGAGAAGGGTGGTTCCATCTTTTTAGAAAAGCCCGCCCACCTGCCCTCTCCATCCGTGGTCCGTGCTGGGCTGGGGGAGGGCATTGGCCAGAGGGGCGCTGAGCTCCAGGGAGACCGGAACAAGGGGGGGGGGCAGGGTTCAGACGGTGCCCCGCCCTCTAGGCGCCGGGGCACGCGGGGGCTCCCACGGGCTCTCACGGGCTCTCACGGGCTCTCGGGCTCATTCCAACGAGTGGTCAGCACGCAAACCGCTGAGTCTCAGCCGGAAGGTGGTATCGGAATGTGCCTGGTGACAAAAAACAGCACGTTATTTTCCAGTTGGAAAGTCCAGAGGCTCTGCTCCTGACCCAGGATCATGAAAGGAGGTAGAAAATCATTATTTGAGTTTCTTAGCAATGAAATGGCTGTTATTTTGCTTTGTGTAATTGTCCTGGAGGGGAAATGAAAGATCTTTTGTAGGACACGGCTTCCCACGACCGTACTTCCTGCTGAAACCCTGGAACAGAATCACACTGTTATTATTGTAAGTGGGCAGCTTGTTTGAGAAGACAGTCTCGCTGAGTGGGGTGAAGACTGTGACCCACGAATTATCTTTTGTCCTGAGCAAGGAACAGACCTGAGCCACTGGGCTGCCCGCTTCTTCAGGGAAGTGATTAGGAGGCTGTGATTCGTCTCCATCCCCAG